GCGCTCCTCTCTGCGGGTCTGCACAAAGAAGGCATATGTAGACCTCTTGCCCTGTGGTTTCTTGGGGTCCCATTTATGCATCCTGACTGTATTGTTCACGAGTCTCAGAATCTAACTCTTAGTTTTCAAAAGCTCCCTTTCAACACTCATCCTTGTGTACCATTTATTCCTAAAATAGCTGACCTATGACCTTACTTGCTTGCTCCATCCCCTGGCCTCCTCCCAACATTGTAGGACTAAGTGAATACTTAGCTTTTCTGTTTCTACTTTGCTTCATTTTATTAAACTTGTTTGTGATGACTACCTCTTATGATTGAAAGGAACACTTAAAAATTCATGAGTTGGGATTCTGTTTAGTGTGGCCAGTTGCAGTCTGCATTCCTTCCTCCTCTAAAATTAACATTGCTTCTCATCCATCTGTTAGACTATGTAGACATTTGTTTTTGTTTGATGTTCATAAGTCTTACATTTTCCAGCAGTTAGTATTTTTGTATAACGACAGCAGTAGATAGACTTCCCTTGAACTAATAAACTAATAGTTCACAGCTTAGCTCATGTATAATCTGATTAATTTGCTAATCATAAGAACATAGGCTTTGAACTCAGTCATAACAGGATTAATCCACCACTGCGTTCAGCTATGAATAGTTACCTCAAATACTATGCAGGGAGAACATGCAACTATCCTTCCAAACAGCCTTTAAAAATAGCAGTATTCCAGAGTGCTAGTAGCAATTTATGCTGCTTTTAGTCATAAATTTGTCTATGCCTTTGTCTGTGGTTCCATCTGGGTTTCCTAAGTGAATCACTTATGCCAGTGCATGACAGCCACTCTCTTTGTATCAAAAACCCAGAGGGAAATAGGTACTGAGAGTGATGGGGCCAGAGAAACTTTTATTTTTTCTGCTAATAAAAAGGAACAAAGGTATGCTGTGATCTAGAAAAGTAACGGTAGGTAGAATTTTAAAATATTTTATACATTTGATATTTTGAGGGTGATATAAGAGAATGAATGTAGACTTCAAAGTCAGAACTATAGGTTTTAATTCCAGCTCTGCTCTTATATCTTTTAAATACCTTCATGATCTCTCAGAACTTCAGCTTTTCCATCTTTATAAAAAAAGAAGAAGGATAATAACATCCTGAATATCTATTGCTAGATTTGAAAACAGCAATAAAATCATTTGGTACTTTGTAGGTAATTATATGTGGAAGTATAGTAGTAATACTAATTTGGTGTAATCTCATTTGGAAATAGTCTTATAATTAAAAAAAAAAAAGAAACAACTAAAGAAAGTAGTTCTTTGTTTAGTCTTGGTACACACAGCAGAATTCTCACAGGGATCATGGTCATTGGTTATCCTTTCTAGTACAGTAGCCACTACTTGTATGTAGTTATTTATATTTAAATTTTAAATTAAGCATTGAGTTCTCACCTGTACTAGCCACAGTTTAAATGTTCAACTGCCACACATGGCCAGTAACTACATTGGAAAGAGCAGACAAGAAGTGTTTCCATCGCTGCAGAAAGTTCTGTGGGGCAGGGCTGGCCTGGACTCGGAGACTATCTGTACTCTTTGCCACTTCTGTCACAGAACACCTGTCCAGGCTCTGCCCAGGACCAAGAGGGCACCCGTGCCTGGTCCCTGCTCCTACAGGTCAACTCACTTCCCAGCCCCTGCTCCCTTACTCCACCCCACAAAGCACCAGGGTATTTCTGTTTTTAGGCCACCAACCAGAAATCTGTTCTTGTTTCAAGGTATTTATTCACCAAGCTTAGCTCAGACTTTCACTTTTGATAGATAATGTAAAACCCTTTATGGGAATAACTGAGTTCTTAAATTCAGGCTAGTATTAAAAGCCTCTCATTATAGAAGTTCAGCTATAAAATGTGTGGCAGGGGATTGCCATGATCTGTGGCCTTCAGGCTTCCTATGTTGAACCCACCTCCACCCTAATGGTATTAAGAGATGGCGATCTTAGGAGGTAATGGGTCACAAGGCCTCTGCCCTCCTGGGTGGGGTCAGTGACTCATCAAGTAGGCCTGAGGGAGCTTTGCCACTTCTACCATATGTGGATACAGAGAAGACTCCATCTGTGTGGAACGGGTCCTTGTCAGACGTCAAATCTGCTATTGCCTTAATCTTGGACTTACTAGCCTCCAGAAGTATGAATGATAAAATTTCTGTGACTTACAAGTGATCCAGTCTAAAATCTCACCACAGCAGCCTCAGCAGATTAAGACCGAGATCTAGTCAGGCATGGTGGTGCATACCCCTGAGAGGCTGAGGCAGCAGGATTGCTAATTCAATCCTAGCATGGGCACTTCACAACCTAGAGAGACCATGTGTCAAATTAAAAAATAAAAAAATGTAACAGGAGGGTAGTTTATTTCAAAGGTCCGGGGTTTAATCCCAGTAAAACACACACACACACACACACACACACACACACACACACACACGGATCTACAGTGTGTTTTAGTCACCACCTGTTCCCTTAACCATAACTACATGACTATTGCTCTGGCCACACTACTTGGATAGATTAAACTATGCTCTCTCTTAAAACAATCATACTTTTGAAGATAAACAAGTGTGTATTAAATAGTTACACAATAGAACCTTGAGATTCTGCATCCAGGTTGGATATTTAATAGTGTCCGATGGGTAGTGTCCTGGTGTTCACGTAGAGCAGCAGAGGGGCCGTATATACTTGGATGTGATCAGAAAATTACCCTCCCTAAGTAGAGGTGCTAAGATTTCTATGTTCCTATTGCCATAATAGGGAGAAAGCAGGAGAGAGAGAGAGAGAGAGAGAGAGAGAGAGAGAGAGAGAGAGAGAGAGAGAGAGATCACAGAACAACGAAAAGAGACATTCCTATTGTCTAACAGGCATTTGCCAGGGATCCTTGGGAAAAGCAATCCCTTTACATATAGCAGGCGATGGCGATCTCAAAAACCAGCGCTGTGAACATCTTAACAGAAGAGCCTGTTCTTCACATTTAATACATGAGAGTGATAACCTCATATAAAACAGCCTGGGAACACGGTGTATTGACCCAGACCTGTAATCCCAGCTACTAGGAAGGGTGAGTACTAGGTGCAAGCCCAACCTAGACAGTTTATCAAGATTCTGTCTCAAAGTAAAATATACAAAGGACTGGAGGATATAGCTAAGTGGTTAGAGCACCCATAGGTTCAATCCCAGTGCAATAAAAATAAAACAAAATGAAATGAAACGTCCTGGAACTAGAACAGCACAGAAAAATGTAATAAGATCAAACAAATCTGAAAGCTTGATATAGGATGAGAATTCTGATAAGATAAGAACAGAAATAATTTCAGTAGTCACACTAAAAGGAATTAACAAGTCAAACTCCCTTGGGAAAGAAGGATTATAAATTGGTATCAAAATTTTCATTGTATATGAAAAATTTCTCAGTTTAATTATTAATTGAATTCCATGAATGTATATAATTCATGATCTAGAATGTGAATTTGTCTTCTTTTTGTAAATCCTAGATTAGATTCGCCTTCTGTCCATAAATAGATAAATCGCTTCCATACTCATTATTCATACACAAGGATAGGCATGTATTTGGCTGCTCAGTGTTGAAGTTGGATTTGGGAATGTGTGCCCTACACAGTGATCTCAGGAGGATGGCGCTGTCGCAAAGGCACCTTAGCGGGCTTGGTCCTGTTCTGCAGTGGGTGTTGGATGGGCCGGAGAGGTGGTACAGCTCTTCCCTGAGTTACCAGGCCAGAGAGAAGACAAAACAATAAAGACTCATACACAGGGGAGTTTTTTTCAGGATGAAGGTAGCTAGCATTCTAAAGCAAATCTGTTTTGGAGAAAACCAATTTGTCAAGCATCGAACTCACAAAAAGCCATTTGAGCAAAAATCAATTCAGTGTAATCCATTCTTACATTACTTTTTTTTTTTTTTTTTAATTTCAGCTTTCTCCTCAATGTCCCAGCAAGCAGCTCACCATGAATTCTTGAGCGCAGCTCAGTTGCCAGTGAATCTCAAGCGCACCTCAGATGTTAGATAACAGGGATGTCTCCTGCGTGGCCTCTCTTGTGGGAAGGGGTAGGCTTCAGGGCTGCACATTCTCGGCTCTTACTGTGAGGGTTAATGTCTTACTCCAGTTCTTTCCTGTGCATCTGTTTCTGCTTCTCATAGTAAAACACCAGAGGTATTTATCTCTAAGTATTCTTTTTTTTAGTTAGCTGATTATTTATTGAGTTAGCTTTTAATAAATGCGTCGTTCATGAAATGGCTGTGAGTCACATGGATTTTTAGGGAACTGAAGAGAGTCAACTCCACTTTTTTCTTGCCTTGAAATAATACACGTCTTGGAGCTACATCAAGGAGTATGTTTTGGGGGCTGGGGAGATGGCTCAGTGGAATAAGCACTTCCCTGACAAGCACAAGGGCTTGAGTTCAATCTCCAGTTCCAAAAAAAAAAAAAAAATATTTTTTTTTTTTTTTTGTACCAGAAATTGAACTCAGGGCCTTGCCCTTGCCAGGAGGTACTGTGCCGCTGTGCTATATCGCTTACCCCAGTGAGAGTACTTCAAATGTACAACTTTCTCATATCTGCACAATGATTTTCCCACAGGATTCAAATCATGTTTCTAAGTTTGTATTCATTCTCATTCCAATTGTATGATTTCTGTAATATGTTCATTGTACCTGTACTTTTATTTAATATTATATAATGACTTACTTTTTAGTTTTAATTATTATACTTTAATGAACATTTTCCTGTTCTTTTTTATTTTATTCAATGTATTTGGTACAAGGTCTCATTATGCAGCTCGGATTCATAGTGATCCTCCTGTCTCAGCCTCCCCAGCACTGAAGTTACAGGCGTGCACCACCACGTCCAATGCCAGTGGCTAGAGTCAGTCTGAGGATCTGCGAGTCAGTGGGCTTCTTAGAGCCTGCATCTCTGGGAGGAAGAGAAGGCCTCTGGGCTTGGACCGACAGAGCCATGCCTCTTTGGCTTGGTATCCAGAGAAAGCTAACCGCTAAATCCAATCGAGTTAAGAGTGTGGATTTACATCCTATAGAACCATGAATGTTAGCAAGTTTTCACAGTCATAGTGTACGTATTTCAAATCATGAAACACAGGCACTGGTGAAGACATTTGAAGTACGCGATCTTCCAGTTCGAGCTGCAAAATTTGTTGCATGGAAGAACTGGGTTATGACAGGAGCAGATGACATGCAGATCAGAGTGTTCAATTACAATACTCTGGAAAGAGTTCCTATGTTTGAAGCACACTCTGACTGCATTCACTGTGTAGCTGTTCATCCAACCCAGCCTTTCATTCTAAGCAGCAGAGATGACAGGCTTATGAAGCTCTGGGACTGGGATAAAAAATGGCCTTGTTCACAAGTATTTGAAGGACACACCCATTGTGTTATGCAGATGGTGATCAATCCAAAAGATAACAATCAGTTTGCCAGTGCATCTTGAGACAGCACCATCAAGGTGTGGCAGCTGAGCTCTTCATCACCAAACTTCACTCTGGAGGGACACGAGAAAGGTGTGAATTGCATTGATTACTACAGTGGTGGTGACAAATCATACCTTATTTCAGGTGCAGATGACCAACTTGATAAAATATGGGATTACCAGAATAAAACATATGTACAGATGCCGGAGGGCCACGCCCAGAATGTGTCCTGTGCTAGCTTTCATCCTGAATTGCCAATCACTCTCACAGGTTCAGAAGATGGAACAGTATGTATTTGGCATTCAAGTACCTACTGGCTTTAAAGCTCATTGAATTATGGAATGCAGAGGGTGTGGTGTGCAGCCAGTCTAAGAGGGTCCAACAATGTCGTTCTGGGCTATGATAAAGGGAGCATCCTTGTTAAGCTTGGGCAGGAGGAACCCACCACATCCATGGATGCCAGTGGAAAGATAATTTGGGCCAAGCACTCAGAAGTCCAGCAGGCCAACCTAAAGGCGATGGGAGATGCTGAAATTAAGGGTGGAGAAACATTGCTACTGGCAGTAAAGGATATGGGCAGTTGTGAAATATGCCCTCAGACTATTCAGCACAATCCTAACGGGCAGTTCACTGTGGCATGTGGTGACGGGGAGGATATCATCTACACAGCAACGGACAGCCCTGGGAAGCAGGAGCTCTGCTCTGCCCAGGAGTTCGTGTGGGCCCACGATTCCAAGGTCAGTGGCTGGCTCAGCACACCTGGGGCTGGGGCCAGCGTAACATGTGGTGCCCGGTAAAGGGCATTTTCAAACTATCTTATGGAAGAGTGGCAGAATATGTCAGCAAAATGTATCACTCTGCATGAGGTTTATTTTTAGCTCTCTCTCTGTGTGTGTGTGTGTGTGTGTGTGTGTGTGTGTGTGTGTGTGTGTGTGTGAGAGAGAGAGAGAGAGAGAGAGAGAGAGAGAGAGAGACTGGCTTTGAATCTATTGTACTGAGCCACATCCCCAGCCCTTTTTTCACTTTTTATTTTGATATAAGATCTTGAAAAGTTGACACAGTACCCAGGCTACACTTGAACTTGTGATCCTTCTACCTCAGCCTCCCAAAGGTTTTGTTTTGCTTTGTTTAAAGCAAAGGATAAAATTTCCACGTACAGCACACTGTCCATGTACTGGAAAAAAACATACTCTTCATCAAACATTCAGAGGTAAACCTGAGAAAAATCTATCAAAACAAATCTTGTTGAACTCACCTTTACCTGCCTACTTACTTCATCATTAAACGTCCTTGCTTCAAACCTTCTGTTCATCACATTTTCATGATTTACTATTCTCTGTCCAATTCAGCATAGAAGTGCTCAACTCTACCTGCTTCTTTGGGGTTCTTATGATCTGGTTCCCAGTCCTATAAAACTTGTATTAAATGAATGTATATTCTTATCTCTTCTTTCAATCTGTTTTCTTTTCTTTTTTTTTTTTTTTGGCGGAACCGGGGATTGAACTCAGATCCTTGCGTTTGCCAGTCAAGCGCTTATCCTACTGAGCCATCTGTTTTCCATCAATTTAATTCTCAGGCCCAGTGAAAACCCCAAGAATTGAGATAAAATTTTGCTTCTCTTCCAGTGCTGAGCAAAAATATCTATGAATTCACAAGTTTGAAACTTCAGTTTTATGTAGTATATAGTACTGTATAGAGATATATATTTAAGTACATAGAAAAATATCACAATTTGGATCAAAAATTTATCTCTAAACTACTTACATTTATTTCACATGGGAACACACTCTGAGCAACAGTTGAAATAAAGAGACAGAGTGGCCCTGGGCAGTCAGCAGTCACTGGACTGCCGGTTCTCAGCCACAGCTGTGCCCTGACTCGCTGCAGGTCAAATGACTATCTTGGGAGCAGTGACACGAGACATGAAAAGTTCCAGTTCGTTCTAATTAGAGTTAACAACCACTGTGCTAAGCCCTATCATTCAAGTGAATTCATGAAATCAGGCTATTCCTGCAAGGACCAAGGATTTATACCTTTGTGCCTGGCCACTAATAGAGTAGCACTTCTGAATCAGTGTTGAGTTCATTAACACTCTGCGTGACAAATGAACTAGGCAGATCACCTATGACTCTGCTCTAAGGAGAGGTAAACCACTAAGGCAAAAGCCTAAGAAAACTGCTCCAGCAGACTGCTCCAAATGAGGAAAGCATGAAGAGTTTCCTGGAATTCTGCCATTTGATTTTTTTTAAGTTCCTTCTGTGCTGCTCTTCATTCTTTTGATCCAAACAGGGTCTCTGAGACCAAATCTATGTGTTTCAGATTTCCTTCTTGTCCTTAAAGAGGGTGGTTCATTTTTTAGCTGCCGGGATTTCTTCTCTAAAATGTAAAAACTAAAGTCCCTGAGCCAGTAAATAGAGCTAATAGCCTTCTCCACTGGAGTTCTGTCTTGCTAACGTTAGCATAATTGTTTGTCTTAAAAATGTAACCAGTGCATGTATGTATTTCTAGAGTGATTAAAGAAGTAGCACTAATTATATCAAAATCTGCTCTTACTTCCCCTCACCCCTAGATTAACATTTGAACAAACGCAATGTGGGCTTTCACTGTGTTGGCAAGGATGTTTATAACTCTGTGTGTGCATGTGTGCGTGTGTGTGTGCATGTGTGTGTGTGTGTGTGTAGTATGCATGTGTGCGTATTTACCCAACAAACTTAAAAATAACCTGAGTAAGCTAAGTAAAGTAAGTGACTGTCTTGTTCATCAGGAATATTAGGAAGCAGAAGCCCTTAAATATCTGAATTAGCTTTGGCACTGTATCAGGAAAGAACTGGCTCACATCTCTTGCATAAGGCTTATGTAACAGATTAGATGTGGTGCCTAAACTATTCCAGTTATCCGTAGCATGGGGGAAAAGCAAAGTGTGCTGTGTTGCTGATACTCGCTTCCCTTGCCCAATTTCAGCCTCATCTTCACTGCTGGAGCGAAGCACCCCTCATTCAAAAACAAAAAAGAGAAAGAAAAAGTGTCATTTGTCTAGTATTTACCAACATATTTAAAGGTAAATCAAGAAAGAAAGCTATGGTACAGGAACAATTCAAAAGTTGGTTAGATATTTGAGTATATTCTTACACAAATAATAGCAAAAGACCACATTCCATAATAAATATTACAAATTTTCCCACATCTTATGAAATAGCCCTTCAGAGTTTAAAGCTCAATTTTTTGTTCTATTCATTTTGCATTCTGAAAAGTATTTTGATCAAATATGATTTCCAGACATTTTAAGCAAAACAGAAATAAAGATCAGGTAGGACATTACTTGGATAGTCAGAGAGACAGAAAGATAGACAGAGACAGAGAGAGAGCGAGAGAGTTAGAGACAGAGACAGACAAAGAGAGACAGTCAGAGACAAAGAGACAGAGATGCACAGAGACAGAGAGACACACTCAGAGGAAGAGGGAGAGAGAAATGATTTCATATATATTTTTTCATAGGTCCGTATGGTACAGAGAAAAGAACTTGAATTTCTGAGTCATATCAGTGAGCACCACTATCACTAGTACTGCTCCTTATTTGTGATATGACCCAAGAAAGTTACTTAATTTCTCTGACCTTACTGTTGTTTGTAAAATGGGAACATCTACCCATTTGCATGGTTGTGAGGCTCTAAATTCAAATTACAAATTTGTGTGTGAGTGCCTACTATGTAGCTGGCATGATCTCCACACTTCATCTAGAAAAAGTAATCTATTTCATCCTCTGGTCAACCCTATGTCATAGATTTTCCCGCTTCTGGCATGAGGAAACCCCAGACCTAAGTCCCCTACTTGGTTAACTTTAGCTGTACAATGTCTACTGAGGATGTGGGACTCCAGAAACTACAAGTATATACAGTAATAAATGCACAGCACTCCACAAACCACAGGACCCATATTAAGGTCTGCTGATTGTCATTACACTTAGCCTCCCTGTTTCCAGAAAAGAAATTATACACCAAAGCAATATGTGCTCCATGAATTCTGGAGTCCCTGCTGATCCTCGATGCAGCCACAGATGCCATTTACCATTTTCCCCCCAACGTTAGCAGCTTGAGGTAGAAGGAATTAAAAGCAGATTTAGTGATCTATTAAAAGCTTGAAATAATTAAAACAAGACTGAAATATCCTCATAGCAAAAACTCAGCTTACAATGGGTATCAGGAAGCAGAAAGTCTTCAGATGCATTTGTTTGATTTATGTGGGTGAAGACATTGAGCCCTGCTTTTTTAGTCATAAACCTTCCTTATATTTTGTAATGAGACCAGTAACATGTGTAACTACCATCCACAATACTTTCTATAGAGTAAATCTCAGTCAGCTTTTAATTATTTTATTTTATGCTGTCTTCTATATAAATTTTTGAGAAACTATGAAGTAATAAATTTACCTTTCCTATAGAAATTTCTCAAGGAGAGAAAAGTTGAAAGTAAATTTCACTGTTTGGTAGAAGAGGCAGCTACACAGATCAGAGCAGGACCGTGGACAAGAACTAGAGAAGAAAACAACAAACAAATGGTGATCTAGCCTTTCCAAGGGGAGTCTAACTCTCCTGAGGTGGGTCTAACCTTCCCTCCTGGGTTTGTGGTCTCACAGTTTCCTCATCTCCTAGCTTTGGGATACAAAGCTTATCATTAGCTGTCAGGACCAGTGTGGAATTTTGTCTAAGTATACAGTGAACCACATGCAATTCAAAAACATTGTAGCTCTACTTGTATATTAGCAAAATAAGTGCTGTTACCCCCACTGAGAACTAATCATGCCATCTTCAGTTTCTTTAGATGTGAATGTCTTGAAAAAAAATATCTAAGCAAGGATTTATTGCTCAGGACAGATGAGGTTATTTTCACATTTATTTTAGTATTAGCATTTCACTGTAGCACTCATGATGGCTTTGTATCCCAAAGTTGGTTGCCTTCAACTTTTTTTTTGTTTGCAACAGAGAAATTTTGCTATGTGTCTTTAAAATGGGAATAGAATTTGCAGGTGAATTTTATACTTGTACTATCAAACTTTTTTAATCAGAAACTGCCATGCTAAATTTTGTGAAAGGCTATAAAAAGTAGGACTAAATATTTTGTAAGCAAAACTTACTGAAAGAAATTATAGGGGGCCTGGCCCTAGCTCAGGCCTTTAAGTGGCTGCTTCCACAAAGCTGTCAGCCTCAGGTTGCTGGAGTTCGAACCTCACACCTCTCCCGCTG